CGTTGTGTGTGTGTGTGTGTGTGTGTGTGTGTGTGCGTGCGTGCGTGTGTTTTACAATATTACTGTATAATAATAATTAATATCTTTGAAAAACAAAGCAATAAATTCATGTCAAGTAATATAATTTTTATTGCATGCAAACGCGTGATGCATTTTAAATATATATTTGTTTTTCATTGATATTACTTATGTCTTTAAAAGTATAAAAAGAAATCCTCACGCCAAATATTACAAGTTGAAAATTTTCTTACTGCGATTACTACGATTATTATTGTTTTTATATTTTTATAAATCTTATAACTTCATTTCTGTTTTAGCAACGTATTTTTAAGAAAACATGAAAAATTGTCAATATCTTTATTACATATCTGTTGGCCATTTTTTTATTAATATCAACTTTCACAATGGTAATTGTCGAAGCACACGTTATAACATTTCCATGTCGTGATGGTTAATGGAGTGATGGATAATGGAGTGTGTATTCCGGAATACTGAACTCATGACATCAGGTATTAATAATATAACATATTATTAATGTAATAATATATTTTGAAAAAAAATACTTTCATTTATTCTTGGTTTGATTACTATCTTTTCCATTCTTACTATTATTTTTTTCAATGACGCAAATGATCGTTATTTTTTCGATTATCAATTGATATACATATTAGTTGTAATAATGATAATGATTTTGGTTTACAGAGAAATGTCAGCAAAGCAGTTACAGTTCGTGTTTGGAAAATAATGAAAAGAATTATAAATAAATATTGTAAATGAACATGGAAAATAAATTATTATGTATATACATAATATGTATTATTAGTTTTATTGAGTTTTGCTTTTAAATTTACAATTTTATAATTCCTGTTGAAGGAAAAAACATCGAAAAAAAACAATATACAACAATTTAATCTTTTTTTCCTTTATAATATATGCGTATAATATATACGTATATATTTTATGCTGGCTTTGATTTATAAGATTATGAAATTATTTTTAAATCAAGAAACTTATATAAATAAATAAATTTTGATATCAAAACTTCTTTTTAAAATAGCCAATTATATAGTAAAATAAAAAGATACTTTTTCCTTTTCTCCAAAGTGTATTTCTCGAAAATTTGTTCCCGCTAAACACGATACCATTGACAAAATGTAGCACATCAGGATTTTGAGTAGAATGGAATCAAATAATGTTTTTGATCAGATTCTTTAGATTCTTAAAAGAAAACCTATTATAAATATTACTTGTAGTTAACAAAGGAAAAATGCATTACATCTTATTTAAAGTTTTTTCCAAACTTAAATGTTAATAATTTAAATTTTATTTTAATAAAGCTGTTAAACAATAATATAAAAATAAAATATTTTTACTATTTGCTTATCTGTTTCCGCAAATCTTGCAAGAAACTATAAACTTTAAAAAAAATGAAAGCTTAACAAATAAATAAATATTGATTAAATTAAACATCTTTATATGACACATAAAAAGTTCTATTTTGAGAAAAAAAATACACAATAAACTGTATAATATAATATTAATGTTACATTATCTTTGAAAAACAAGTTTATATTATATTGCAATAAAATATTTATTATATGCAGACGCGTGATGCATTTGAGATATTTATTTGTTTTATATTGAAATTACTTCCTGTCTTTGACAATATAAAAGAAAATGTTTATTATAAAGTACTACTATTGAAAGTTATCTTACTGTGATTACTCTGTTATTCGCATTTCTGTAAGAATAGTAATTTAATTTCTACTATTGTGTCTTCAGCAACATATTTAAAAAAAATATGCAAGCTTGTTATACTTTTGCTACATATCTCTTGGTCACCTTTTTATTAATATCAACACTTATTACAATGGCGGTTTCCGAATCACACATCATAACATTTCCATGTCGTCCTGGTTATATAACAATTAATGGAACATGCCATGCATGTTATGTAGAAGTTAAGAAAGAAACTTCTCGTTTTATAAAAATTAAGGAAGGAATATGCCGACTAAAGTATATTGAATAACGTCAGGTATCATTGATTTTGTACATATCTTTTGTACTTTTATCCATGTTCGTTTCCGTTTTAATTACAACATTTTCCGTTCTTGTTACTCTTTTCAATGATATATATAATCGTTATTTTCTTTCGACCATATATTTGTTATGTATTGACTTTTGAACATTTTAAAATATGTACTATATGTTTAATGAGAAATTATGTATAAATCGATTATTAAATGGTACATAATTTTTTGATAATTTATATGTAGATTTATGAAAAAGTTTATTTCAGTAAAACGTTTATATAAAATATTAATATTTATAACCATTTATTAAGTTATAAAAAGTAAAAACATTATTTTAATGATGATTAAAGATCAATGATTATCAATTATAATAATATCTATCTTTAATTTTCAGAAGGTGTGATAACAAATCAGTTGCAGTGGAAAACATAAAAGAAAATGATAAATTAATATTGTATATAAACAAATATATAAGTAAAAATACATTATTGAGTTTTGATTTTATACTTGCAATTTTATAATGCGTGTTAAAATAAGACAAAAGAAAATAATACATTAATTTTGTTGCTTTTATTTGTAAAATACACTGTACAATGATACAATGTTCAACAAAATTCATTGAAACTTAAGAAATCAAAAAGAAATAGACAATTATTTTGTCACTGATTTCTGATTTGTGTCAATAAATACAGAGAAAATTATAACAATAAAAACATTAAGGAAAAAGAAAATTGAATAATTATTGTTTAGTTCATTCAAAAAAGTAAAAATTAATTAATTTTTGGCCGATAATTAGCTTTTCCTAGATTTTTTTATATGGATTATTTACCTTCTACAGAATATGGTACAAAAAATATTATAAATATAACATAAAATATTAAATATGTAACCTCTAATAGCATTCTGCATTGTATTGTAAACACAAGATTGTTATTTTCGTTATATATAAATATAATATATATTTAATATTAATATTTATAACTGGCAGATAAATAGATTCATATACATTTATATTAAAACAAATTTCTTGATACTTTTAGTATATTTAAACTTTATTTTAATAATTCTATTAATCAAGTACAAAATAACACAAGGATTTTTTATCATTTCCATATTTGTTTCCACAAATCTTGAAAAAAATATATAAAATTATATTCATATTCATAATTTAGCGATATAGAAAAATAAATAAAACGTAGGAAATATTAAGCACAGACTAAAAAAATTTTTATTCTTCAAAAAAAAAAGAGAAGCTTATTTTGTTAAAATAAATTTTGATTAACCTAACATTTTTTATATTTCACATAAAATACCCTTTTGTAATATCTATTTTGAGGAAGAAATATAATAAACTGTAATAATACTAATATTTTTGAAAAATAAAGTTATAAGTGTATGTCAAGTATTATAATTTATAAATAATATAATTTTTATTACATGCAATTTTTATTACACGCGTGACGCATTTAAAATATATATATTTATTCTTTATTAATATTATTTCCGTCTTTGACAGTATAAAAGGAAAATTTCATACAAAAGACAAGTTGAAAATTATCTTATTGTAATTATATTGAGCATCGTTTACAAATCTGTAAGATTAGTAATTTGATTTCAGTCAGCAAAGCTCATTGAGAAAACATGGAAAATTGTTATGTTAATACTTTTATTACATATCTTTTGACCGCTTTTTTATTAATATCAACTTTTATTACAATGACAATCACCGTAATTATACAAGTAATTCCATGTAATGGTAATGTAAAAGTGGAAAATGCTGTAAGGCCACCAAATTCAAGTACTTATTTTTATATTATTTTTTAACATATATTTTGACAAATACTTTGGTCTATATCACTTCTTGTTTTAATTACAATCTTTCCGTTTTTCTTATTATTTTTAATGATACGAATGATCGTTATTTTTTCGATTGATTCGATTAATTGATATGTATCAATTATATAACAACGTCCATTTTTTTATTTACAGCCAAACAGGATGATAAGACATTAATTGCAATTCGTAATTGGAAAAGAATGGAGAAAGTGATAAATAAATATTGTAAAGAAACAATCGAGAATAAATCACTATAAACGTACATTATTGAGTTTGATTTTAAACTTGCAATTTTATAATCCCTTTTAATAGTTAATAATATAAAAAATTGAAACAAACACAACAATTTATTTTTTCACAAACAATTTATTTTTATTCCTATAAAATATATAGTATATAGTTCTTCTTAATTTTGGTTTAAAATAAATTTGCGACATGTTTTTTTAAATGAAGGAAATAATAAATAAATAAATACATTTGTTTAATAAAAACAAAAAGTTTTTTATTGTATCCAATTATTAATTGTGTCTAAACAATGTTGATTTAACTTTTCCAAAAATTTTTCGAGGCAATAGTATGTTAAAGATTACTTGTATAAAATAGTAAAAGAAAAGAAAAATTGCACAGTTAATTCTGTTTATTTCTTTTTCGGTTAATATATTTATCAGCACAGAGCCACTTTAAAAAGAAGACTGCTCGTGCCATTTGGTCGGTGATACATTTTGCGAGAGAGAGTTTGAACTCACCAACGCGCAATAGTTGAGCCTCCGCATTCCTGAGATGGCGCCTCCGACGCTGTGAGAAATACGCTTCCCCTAGAGGGTACCGGGAGGGTACATTCACACTCGCCGTAGCGCCAGTTGCGCGGTTAGCGTCCTCGCGTAGTTTTCGCGTGTAATTCTGTGTTGTCCTGCGTGAGAGTTCCGCGTCGTCGGTTGCAACGGAAAAGTCGAGTCCGAGGCATCACGCTGCAGCGCGTACATCCGCAACGCATCTCTCTCTCGTCATCCTGTGAGGATAATAAACGGCGGTCTCGACTTAGCGGCTTTTATGAATCTCGCATAACCGGCCGTGCGTGCGTCTACGAACGTGAACGTACGAAAATCATCCATCCATTCGGCGGCGTCCATCGACGCGTCCCCGAGGGGTGAGTTCCTTGCGCTTTGTTTCCGCGTTGTGTACTCGCGCGCGCGCGCGCGCGGAATTCACGATTCACAATTCGCCGCCGGATTATTTATCGTCACCGCAAATGCGAAATCGAGTTGCGAGCTTGCGAAAGGTTTCGGGAACGATCGCGATTTTAATTACGTCTTGTATATTCTGTGAAATTAAGCAAAAAAAATACATATATTTATATTTTTTTTGTTTGATTAATTTTCATAGAAAATATTGCTCTCATTCGACGAGCGCATTTGAATCGAGTTATGAGATTAAAATAAATATATGTATTATATTATTTTAATTTCGCAATTTCGATTCGAATTGCACTCGTCGAATACGAGTGATATTTTTTATAAAGTAAAAATTGATTTTCCAATTCGATTCCGATTTGCACATTTTCTCGCAATTCTCAGAAATAGTATGATTATTCAAAATCTTACGAATGGTAGCTATGAAGTTTTATGGGAATACACGTCTGGAGTCGAATACTTTGTTTCCATGAGGTCGAATCCACGTGATCCCGGCGATTAATTTGCGTAATTAATTTCAAAATCATTCGGGGTTTTGATTAAATTAATCTCGAATTAATCTCGATTAATGTCGTTTGTTAAGAAATCATGAGAATATTTGAAAGATTTCCATTTATTTTCATTGCGAAACGAAGTAGATACTCATTCAGGTTTCTGAAAAAGAAGGGAAAAAAATTTGAAAACGTGAACCAAGTTCGTAAAAAAAGAGAAATATCCTTTCTTGGCAGAAAGGAATCTTCTAAGATTTCCTATATAGAGACCTAATTATTGATGCGTTGAATTCACAGGAAGAGAAACGAATGCTCTATTGTAGTGCACGAAAGTCATCCTTTCAGTTTCTAGATGCATTCAGCCAACGAAATAACCGTTAGGCCGGTCGCGTCTTTAAGCGCCTTTTTTTACAAAGCGGGGTGTCTATTGATGAAGAAAAAAATGTATGGCTTCGTTCCTCACATTTCCCGGTTACTACACGTCGCATTTAGCCTTAATCAACCTCACGCCTCAAGCGTATCGTGTCGTGTTTGATTTTGCTCGACGTTGTGTAAAGTCGAAAGTGAAAAGATTCGCATGATACGCGTACTATTTTCCGCTAAATTTTCTATTCTTCGATCAAACGAAAACATTACGTCTCTTTTCTCGTTTCTCTCAGAATAGAAAAAACGACGTGTCTATTATTTTAAATAATACGAAAAATCTGAAATTTTTCCGAGAATGTTTTATCCGACGAAGCGATCAAATTCGCGGAAAATTTTATCAAAATTCTGAAAATTTTTGTTGAAATTGAATATTTATTTTTCCTTTTTTTATTTCCCTTCCTGCGAGAATGCTATGTATATTTTATTACTGCAGTGTTACATAAATTTGTTTTAATATTTTTAAATAATAACTTTATGTCAAAAAAAAAAGGATTAAATATTTAATCGAATACGACGCAGAGAGGACAGTTCGAGAGAGGTAAAAATAGTTGGTGCCGAATTGATTCTCGAATTAAGAATTCAAGGATGAAAGGAAGAATCGTTTCTCCCGAGATCCTGTTTTCGTGTATTATGCATAAAAATTTTTACATATCGGGCAATCGAACTCCAAACGACGACAGTCGTTGAGCGTTGTAGCTTGGCGTCGCCACGACCAGACATAAACCGATCGATCGCGTGGCACCGGTCCTCGAACTAGTAGACAGTCGGTGCATATACGATAACATGCATTTCTTCGTACTGCGCAGTAGAACATCGCAATATTTGCATAATTCTATTACAGACTTGCTCGAGTTTGTGCGCACGTTTCCCTTATTGATCGCCAATTGGCGATCAATAAGGGAAACGTGCGCGCAAATGCATGATCATATATTTAAAAAGATAGAGGTTAAAATTTAATTTATATGAACTCGCGGTGACCAGGCCAAGAATGTTTCCTGTGTTTTTATCGAATTATATTAGAATTAGATGATTTTCACGCCGTTGTCTCATTCATCAACTACCTTTTTATTCATCGTGACAGAAATTCTCCGTTCTCGTGACGTGTCTTTCGTATTGTTATAAAAAAATTCTTTTTAAGATAAAATTCTTTTTAAAATAAAATTATCAAAAGAAATTGTGAAGGAAATTATGAGACAAGCCAGAAAATATCTATCTTAGTTTAACGTTCACGAATGTCACCTTTCCATAAATTTAGCCACGATGAATAGAGTGGTTCAGCCGCCAGCCGCGGTAAATCAAATTAAATTTGGTTGATCGGGCTAGCACGCTAAATCATTTAAGCGACCATGCTCCGCACAGACTGCAGGACGTTTCGTAGATGGTTTGATACGATACGTACGATTGTAAATGATCGTAATGCATTATACACCGAACATAGCCGCTCCTTCCATCGGAATGCAATTATCGAAGTTTTACGCAATCGTTTTTGACGATTTATTGAATTTATTCAAACGAGAGGTAAATTTCAATTTCAGGTATTATAAATGTGAACGAAATGAGAAATTTATAAAAAAAAAACCTATTTCCAATGTAAAATAAAATGCTTTTGTTATTCATTAAAAAAAAAAAAGAAGTTTGGCAAAGGCAATATTTTTCCCTCGCGAGATTTTAATTTTCTGCACTCTCTGCAACTTTATCATGTTTTCAAGCGGCAGGTATCGATTTGCCATGTAAGTATAAATATCGAGGTAAACAAATTGATCGAGATGATCCGACAATGGAATACCACGCGAATGAGAGAATTTTTATTGGAGAATGTTAAAAAAAAAAAAAAAAAAAAAACGGGTTAACCATCTCAGAGAAATTTCATTCTCGTTGTTATTTGGAGAAATCTCAATAATACTTGGGAGAGATTCGCGGACTTGATCGTAATGTAATAACTCGGTGCTGTATCTCGAAACCGATTAGCATACCTCGAAGCAGCGGATGAAGACGAGAAATTATCGTTCGCCATGCCATCCTCGCGCACGTAGCCAAGTGACAGCTGTTGAATAGCAATTGAATGCGATTAGTACATCGTTCGAGTGTTCCGGGCGCAATCTTTCAGTCGCGGACTCTCTTTGTTGAATTTAAAAACGATTCTCACTCGCGACCACGAAATTCCGACGTGTGACTAGCGTCGTTTTTATCACAGTATCTTAACTTCTTGAATGTGGAATAGCGCATCTATAGATGCAGACTCTAAGTTGACTCAGAGTGTAAAGCGCATTTATAGACGCATAAGTTAATAAGTTATTTTGTTTTATAATTATTATTAAAATTGATTGAAAATATTTTCTTTTAACATCGAGAATTTCTAATTTTGAGTTAAAATTTCATAATTAATGCAAATTTAAAGTGGCAGCTTCGATAAAATTTAAATACAATATATTTTAAAAATTGTGCAAAATTTTTTGTTATAATTAAAATCTTATTTAAAAGTGTGTTAATTTGCATTTTTTTAGATTAATATTCACTATTTTATATTCATCATCTTACATTTTATTTATCATGTTAACATTAAATTTAACAATCATGGAAACATTAAACAAAGATAAAATTCGCAAATAAAATTAATGCAATCAATTTTTTTTACGAATTTTGCCCTATATATTGAATTCACCATTTTGAAATTTGAAATTCTAACAAATTTGTATTCAATGACCTCGAAAATTCTTATATATAAATTATCATCTAAATCCATACACGGAAAGAGTCTGCACATTTTGAACGTACTTTGCCTTTTGAAATCCCACACTCAAGGGATTAATCATCAGCGTTTAAACTCCCCGCAGACGAGTGCGTGAGAATCCGCGTTGAGATTTAGCGCAGGCGACGCTTAATTAAACTCAGGCTTTCTCCGCTCTCGATTTCAGGAGTAGAGAATGAGTCAGACGGACAATCTGCAGGATAAAAGCATGGATAAGAAGGAGATCGCTGAAGAAGAGAGGGAGATGATGCTGAACGCTGAGAACACGAAGCACACCGGCGCCGCGCCCGCGCACGATCTCGAATCCGAAGAGCAGAAACCGAAGAAGAAAATACCGATCGGCGGCATCAAGATGCCCGGATTCTGCCGTACGAAGAGCAAGGAGCCGTGCAAGGTACGCGATTATTTTGTCTGACAATGAGA